ATTTCGTTATCAGATCTAAGATGTTCTATTGATGAGTAATAGAATGGATTTCATGAGAGTTTGGATTTACTTCTAAGTGTACCAAAAAAAGCATATTTTTGGAAGTTCAACAGAAGCAGCCAGTTAGTTCATCTGTACCTACATGGAAAATAAAATTATGGCAACTGTTCACATTACTCAGGCCAAAAAATAGCCAAATTTCCACCACCACCATTATAATCATCATCACAATCAAGAAGAGCTCTTAAAGAAGAACCAAATGGACAAATTTAGCTTTGAAATTTGAAAAAAATATATACTTTTGCATGATTTACTTCAGTGCATAATTCCTTTTCCTTTATATAAAATTCAGTTTTATTTAAAAGAAAGATATTAAACTCAGCTTCATCCAAAATTGAGGTAATTTTCAAAATATTTTGGGCTAAAATAAATTTTTAAATGGAAGTATTTCAACATTATCCAAGAAAGCAGTCTAACAAGGTTTATAGCAAATTTAATTATTCCAGTGTTTTTTAAAGTGGGAAGCATGTACAAAAATTCTCCATAATATTAATAGATTTCAAGCAAAAGGTATTTTTAAAATGCTGTGTTAAATTAGTTTACCATGAAATCTCAGCTATTTTAATATCTCATATAAGTTGTCAATCTCTGCATTAAATATGCAGAAGTATGTGCTGTAAAAGAGACACAAGACAAGAGGGCACTTCAGGGAGAGGGAAGATAATGATCCAAGATGAGCATGTGGGAAAGCATAAGACATGTTTAAAGAAACTGTAGGGAAATTCTGGATTTGCAGAAGATAAATCTGGAAATGGAGGCAAGAGCCAGATTGTGGATTCGAATAGCATAATAAGTAGTTCAGACCCTTTCAAAAATCAGTCATCAAGCACTAAATATTTCCTAGGAAAAGAGTGATCATATAAATGGGGTTGTATGAAAAGATTTATCTGGCCATAAGTGGATGGGTTGGTGTGGAGCAGGAAAAATACTGGAGGTGGGGGGTCCAGTTTGAAGACCTCAGCAATGATTTAGAAGTGAGATTAATTATGATGGCGGAAATGAGAATGCAAAATGAAGAACGAGGACAAGATGCACTGCAAAAAGAGAATGAGGTAAATAGGATGCAGTTTCAAAGATTTCTAAAGTGATCCCCAAGAGAGTGAAGATGGCCTTAAGCAGCCATAGTGAATCATTTGCTCCTTCACAGATTACACTTTTTAACTGCCTCCATGCCTTGATAATAGGTTTTCTACCATATAGGACCTATTATTCTTGAGTACACAGTTAGCTTCTATTCAGTCTTTAAGAAATCCAGCTCATTTATCTTCTCTTCTTTCCAGAATCAGTTTTTTTGTGCTCTCTTTTAAGTGTCCTATGTATAAATTTTTTACAACAGTTAATGTATCACAAGATCTATTGACTTGTCTTCTCTTCAATTAGATTACCAGCTCCCTGAAGGTGGAGACCAAATGTGTCGATTTTTCACAATGAACACAGTAGCACACAGTTCAAACCGAATCATTGTTAGATGAAGGAGAATAACCAGGAAAGTTAGAATGACAGAAAGTCAATAAACAAACAAATGAAACAAGCAAATAGATGGAAGACGGAAATGTGCATGTAGAATAGAATGGAATAGAATAGAATAGAATAGAATAGAATAGAATAGAATAGAATAGAATAGAATGATTGAGGAAGCTTGTTTATCAACATGTTAGATAGCTAATAGAAATAAGACTGAAGAAAGTGATAAAAAACGGAAATTGATTAGGCAGGATTCCAGAGTACAAGAGATGCTATGGCTTGCAGACCTGGTATGGGAGATTCACCCCACATAGTTCAATACTTCCTACAGTTCTCAAAAGATGCCTCATGCTCTTCAATTTTCTTACCTTAGCTTCTTATATTTCCACCGACAAGAATGCCATCTCATCTTGATCCTCTATTTTAACATCTACTTATACATGTGTAAGACACAAATCAAATCCCACTATTGCATGAGACCTTTCCTGGTCTTTTATTTCTCCGAATCCCCGAATAATTTTTTCTTAATATTCAGCCTGAAGACCACCTGCATAAAATCCCACAGGGAGTGGTGCTTATAAGAAGTTTCTCTTTACAGACATAATCTATCTAATACAGTTAGAAGGGGTAAAATAATTTGAATCATCATTTTACAAATACAAATAAAGATATTTGAGCAAATGACCATTACAAAATCATTAATGAGAAAAAAGCCAGTGGAAACTTAATGACAAATGGATCAATAATCTGATAGTACCTCAACTCACTCATCAAACTTAAGGTTATAAAAAGAGAGACAGGCCGGGCGCGGTGGCTCAAGCCTGTAATCCCAGCACTTTGGGAGGCCAAGACCGGCGGATTACGAGGTCAGGAGATCAAGACCATCCTGGCTAACACAGTGAAACCCCGTGTCTACTAAAAAATACAAAAAAACTAGCTGGGCGAGGTGGCGGACGCCTATAGTCCCAGCTACCTGGGAGGCTGAGGCAGGAGAATGGTGTAAACCTGGGAGCCAGAGCTTGCAGTGAGCTGAGATCCAGCCACTGCACTCCAGCCTGGGCGACAGAGCGAGACTCTGTCTCAAAAAAAAAAAAAAAAGAGTCAACCAGACATTATATGCCTCCTTATGGAAGTACACAAAATACCCTCTAATATATTCTTGCCACAAAAAAATATGTCTGAATTTGGCCAAATCCCTATCCATAAAAACCAGTCAAAAGGAAACCAAGGAAAATGTTGAAAGATAACAGTGTATAGAATTTTGCATAATCTCAAATGTGGGAAAGGAACTGTAAAATGTACAATTTTTAAAGGGACAGAAAAACCTACAGATTAAAATATATCAAAAGAGACTTCAAGACATGTCAACCAAAAGTGTGGATATTTAGGGATACTAATTTCAATGAATTCAAATTTACAAATCATTTATGAGACCATTAAGGTAACAAGAGCACTAACTGGTATTTAAAAATTTACTGTTGATTTTTAGGTTAGATAATAATCAAAACATCCATTTTAAAGCATCACCATATATCTTGAAATACTTTTAGATAAAATGATATACCATCTGGCACTTGCTTCAAAATAATGTAACAGTGGCGGAGGTGTGGTGAGTGGTATAAATCAAGCAAGACTGATTATCATTGAAGTTGGGTGATAGCCATTAGTTCACATTTATATATGTTTTAAGTTTTTCATTTTTAATTCATTTTAAAATATAGATTGCTAGACCCTATCTCAGAATTATTGAACTAGAATATCTGAGGAAGATTCTGGGAATCTGAACAATTAACATATTCTGAAGTCATTGTTACACACACTAGGATTTGGGAATTACAATCCTAAAACAGTTTATCTCATTATCTAGCCCTTGTCAGAGAAATGAAGCCAATTATATACATATATCTTATTTTTAAGGATAAAGGCTGTGTCTTTGCCAGGCTTGCATTTCCCAAGGATAGATATACACACACACACATATGTGTGTATATATACACATACACATACACATATATACATACTTATATATGTGTATATATGCACATACATATATATTTAGTATACACTCAATAAAATGCTAGTGATGTCTGACAAAATATTTATTTTTGTTTAATCTGAATAAATATTTAAGATAGAGTATACAAGACTTACCCACACATTCCAACATGCCAGGTACATTTGGCATCAGGAATGTGTACCTTATTACAGCTGTTAGCAATAATCTTTGGCCACATGAAATTTTTTTTCTCAGTTGGTGGTATTTAACATTCCTAAATTGCCAGTATCGCCATACCTCAATCAGCAAGGATAACATCTAACCAGATGAGAGCCTCTTTTTTCACATTTGGAGAGTAGGTAATATAAGAAGCCACATGTAGTATATCAACACTAATAATATAGATGCCCATATGGTCTTTCAAGTAAATAAACTGAAATGTTTTCACCTGTGATAACCCCTAGGCTTTTCCCTTTTGGATTTTTTGTTTGCTTGTTTTCAGTCTTCCATTTATTAAATAACAACTTTGACTTTCTTAAGAGAGTATGCTTAGGAAAATGTAATCTTTTATTGAGAATTGCTTTCCCAAAGACCTAATATTTCCTATAACTTAGAGTCCTTGAAAGATGTAGACTATAATCAATTCTGTAATAGATTCTGTCCTAGCACTAGTCTAGGATTCTAAACCTATCACTAACTAGTTAAGTAACTTTGAAGAAGACATTATTACTTTTCCTGGGTCCTGGTTTCCCTACATACAGTTGACCCTTGAACAACACGTAGGTTTGAATTGAATGGGTCCACTTACATGTGGATTTTCTTCTACCTCTGCCACCCCTGAGACAGCAAGACCAACTCCTTCTCCTTCTCTTCCTCCCAACCTACTCATAATGAAGACAATGAAGATGAAGACCTTTATGATGATCCACTTCCAGTTAATGAATAGTAACTATATTTTCCCTTCCTTACCTTATTTTCTTAATAACATTTTCTCTTCTCTGGCTTACTTTATTGTAAGAATACAATATATAATATATATAACATATATAAAACATGAATTAATGGATTGTTTATGGTACAGTAAAACTTCTTCCTGGTCAACAGTAGGCTGTTAGTAAAGTTCTGAGGGAATCAAAAGTTATAGGTGAATTTTTAACTGCAAAAGTTACATGTGGATTTTTGACTGACATTCCTAACCATTGTGTTGTTTAAGGGTTAACTGAATATAATTATAAAATAAATATGTCAGTCTACTCTTAGATTATCTCTAAGTTTACCTCTAGTAGTATAGTACTTCTAGGAAAAAAAATGACTTTGGATAACATTTAAACACAAAACACAACCTTTCTAGGGGAAAAAAAGGACATAAAATGTTCTCACCTCATAGTCTTATATGACACTAAATAAGGTCAAATTCATATGGTTCTGTTCTGAAGGTACAAATACAGGAATATGAAGGACTCTTCCCACTTTGGCTTACCTGCTTATGAGCATGATCATAAGAATTAATATGATTGTCAAACTCCTGGTGCTTGTGATACTGCTTGTCACATAATTCACAGTAAAAGTTTGCCTTTACATCTTCCAGGGCCTTTGCTGTGGACTTCTCCTTTTCTGCAAAATCCTTTAAGAAAAAATACAAAAATGTTGGTTAGACTTCTCTCTAATAGCATAACCAGATCTCATATTAATCAAGGTGGCATTTAACTTAAAGAAATATGATGGAGCACATTATTCTCTGGGAATTCATGACCCTGTGAAAGTAACTTTTAGTTTCGCATCATCCCTAACTTATCAACTGACATATCATGAGTTCTAAAGTATCCCTGGCCTGAAGCCTGGTTTTTACTCATCCTTCTTGCCACCCATTTCTAGGTTGTGATTGTGCCTATTGCCAGGCACATCACTGGCCATTCTTCTTTATATCCTTCATTGGCCTCTGTTTTTCTGATACTATCCCTTAAATTTTAGTGTTCTGTGCAATTCCATCTTCAGCCAAATGATGTATCCATTTCATATGCTCTTCCATGGGTGTCCCCATTCACACTATAGATAGAGCTTGATGTATCCACAATGTTCAACACTGCCTAAGCCTCCTCCGCAAGCATCAGTTCCTGCTACACTTTATGTCCATGTTCTTCAAAATATTCTCCTTAAAATTTTTAGTATGCTCCATTTAAAACAGTTTTGGATACATAATTCTCCTGCTTAAAATCCTCTTTAACTCTCTCTTTGATTATAGAATAATAGTGGCCAATGTTTACTGAGTATAAACTATGCACAAGGTATATGAATTATCTCATCATTCCTCACAACAATTCTATGAGTTAGGTTCTATTTTCATCTGCATTATAGATGCATCAACCAGTGCTTAGAGAGATTACACACTCATGGTCTCCAAGTTAACAAGTGGAGAAGGAATTTGAATTCAAACAACCTATGCCTGACTCCTTTGTTAGTAAACAGCTGTGATTTGCTATATTCCTTTAATGCCAACCTTCTTAATATACCAGAAAAACTTCTTACCTTGCCTGTATCATATTTTGTCAAACCCTGCTTCTATATTTTCCTCTTTAATTCTATTACCAGATATGTCACACAACATTAAATTATCTGTTTTCATGTCTATTTTTTCCACCAATTTTTTGAGGGAAGAAGCTATTTTATTCATTTTTGTTACACAATGCTAAACAATATGTTGTGTAGCTCGGAATATGTGCTACTTAATATGCATTATGTAAGTTAATGGATAATAATGGTTTATATATTTATGCCTCATATCATTCTACAACTTTTGCTCTATTATCCCAATACCAAATAAAAGAGTGACTGGCACTTTGAGAATACCGAGTAAATATGTATATACACTGAACGAACAAACTAAAGAATGGATTTTATCCTTGTTTCTCCAAAACAACTATCCTTGATAGAAAGAAATCAGGTCATAAGTGTACATCATAGGCAAATAGCTGACCAGAAAAGAAAGTAAGCAGAAATAATTGTAGGTATATTTTCAGAGTAGGGTGAAGTAATGGGACAATTAATTTAGACATGTGGGTAACATCATGATTTAAGCCCAAATATAAGAGGGCAAAACACATGGCAAAAAGAAAGAAGGGCATGATACCATTAACTAACAGCACAACTAGACCAAGTATATGGATTGCCTATCTAAGAGAGTTAAAGTAAGAATTCGGTTACATTCTAGAATAGTGGCTGATATAAAAAACTAGTGGACAGGCTGTAGCCAGTAATGAGAATGGAGACTCTGATTTCAAGGTCAAAATCCAGTTGCTGAAAGAACTAGGATAATTGCCAGCTGAGACAGTCACTATTGAGAAGTGAGAAAGGAGTACAGCATTGAAGTGGTGCTAAATCCCTTGATTTAGTAGACTTAGAATCAAAGGAAACCATTATTTCTGCACTCTTTCTCACTAAGTTATTTTTCTTTTTTTGAGGTGGAGTTTCACTCTGTCACACAGGCTGGAGTGCAATGGCGCGATCTCGGTTCACCTCAACCTCCTCCTCCTGGAGTTCAAGAGATTCTCCTGTCTCAGCCCCTCCAGCAGCTGGGATTACAGGCGTGTGCCACCGCGCCTAGCTACTTTCTTTGTATTTTTAGTAGAGATGGGGTTTCATCATGTTAGCTAGGCTGGTCTCGAACTCCTCACCTCAGGTGATCCACCTGCTGCAGCCTCCCAAAGCGCTGGGATTACAGATGTGAGCCACTGCACCCGACCGGCTAGCCTTCCTTCCTTCCTCCCTTCCTCTTTCTTTCCTTTCTTTCTTTCCTTTCTTTTTCGTGTCCTTTCTTAGTATAATCACAAGGACTGGATTGACACTAGGGATTAATTTGGTTTAATCATAGTTCTTCTTTTTTTGCTCTGTCGCCCAGGCTGGAGTGCAGTGGCATGATCTCAGCTCACTGCAAGCTCTGTCTCCTGGGTTCATGCTATTCTCCTGCCTCAGCCTCCCAAGTAGCTGGGACTACAGGGGTCCACCACCAGACCCAGCTTATTTTTTGCATTTTTAGTAGAGGTGGGGTTTCACCATGTTAGCCAGGATAGTCTTGATCTCCTGACCGCGTGATCCGCCCACCTACACCTCCCAAAGTGCTGGGATTACAGGTGTGAGCCACTGCGCCCGGCCTGATCATAGTTCTTCTTACTTCTTTATGACAACAGCCTTAGAAAACTGACCATGTTCTTATACAATGGTCAACACTGCCTTAGTGCTCAAAAATACCTTAGCCTCATGAACTGGGGTAGGGGAACAACTGAAAATTCAGGATAGATTTGAGGCTAAAAATGTATTTTTATATTCTTTCAGATTATGTAGAAGATTTTATGACAATAGTTCAATAGTCAAGAGTGAATGTTTACCTTCATCTAAACATTCTATATTTCTAAAATGTTCTTTAAGTATCATATTGATGATTTTTAATTCAAAATTTTATAATTTTAAGACAGCTTCACCAAAATTTAAGTTTTATATCATCTTTTTCTGAACACTTCTATTTTACAGGGTCATTAGACTAAACTACACATCACATTTCTTGCTTCATTATTCTTGCCAGGAAATTATGCAGATATCCTTATCTTTCTTACCTCTAAGGTGCTAATGACAATCTCTGGGGCATATTCTGGCCTCCTTATTAAGAGAGAAAGAGTAAACCAGTGGAGTATAAATACTACCATAAAACATACAGACATAGACTGAATTATAAGGGTAGAAATATATATTATTTTTTAAAGAGGCAACTGATATTTAGTAATTTCATGTTTTGTATAAAGTCTAATGGCTAGGTAATGGTAAAGGGGGGCATGCTTTTCACCGTCTCATGCTACCTCATCCATCCAACCATCTATCCACACATGTAACCATCCATTCATTCAACTGTTTATTAAGTATTCATACATTCAATTATCTCTTATTTAGCAACTTCTAAATGTCAATTTCTTACTGGGTCTTATACTCATTAATTTACAATTTAATGGGAAAGAATTACTTTTCCATTAGAGGTAAAAACTGTAAGTTGCGATAGAGTGATAATCAAAAGTTGCTATAGAGGGTTACCTAGATCAGACTACTTAAGAATAATTAGAAGTTAATGTCTCTCTCACATAGCATGATATACACATTATTAGCACACATTATTTCTTGGTTTTTTGTTGAATGACAGGATGCTTTTACTGAAAAAAAAAAAGGCCTGAAGGTAAATAAGATGACTTACTCTTTGAAATAATTATACAATATTTAAATATATTTAGAGATGGAGTGTAAGTATGAAAGAGTAAAAAATGATGACCTATTCTCAGTATCAATAAAGTTTTAAAATAAAGAATTATAGATACAAGATTTGATATATAATTCATTCATTCATTTGCCAGTTATTTAAATTTCCCTTCTTACAGTTTGCCTAGAGGAAGAGGTTTTGAAAGCTTATCTGACAGAAAAAAAAAATGTATAACATAAAAGAAACCTTCTTGTTAATCACTCTCAATGATTCATTAAAGGTTGAAAATAAATTACAAATTGAATATGACAATTATCTTAACGAGAGTCATTTTTAAAACATTCAGTAATGCCAAGGGGAATTTTTTGTTGTTGTTCAGTATGAATTCTGTAATAATTACTTTTTATACTTAATGTTTTGAGTGCAAGGAGAGAATATGTACTTTTTCACACCAAAAAAGTGTACGTTAATGCATAAAACAGGTATGTTTTTAAAGTGCCAAGTATTCTTACTAGAGTAATGCATTTAGAAGTATGAATGTTTGCTATCAAATTGTTATTATTGTAATTATTATGACACATTAACTCCTCATGAACTACACTGTAAACTAGAAATGTGCCACGTACTTGACACTTGTTCACTCACTTCATCTTCATAATAACCCTATGAAGTATATTCTATTATTATCTCATTTAAAGATATGGAAAATAAGGCACAAACATGTTTAGAAATGCATTCACTGGCTTAAAGCTCAGATCTGCCTGACTTCAGAGGCATGATTCAACATACTCAAGGCTGTTCCAATTACTTAGCATTTATCCAGATGCCACATAAGTCCAGGCTGTCTCTGCTAACTCATTTGTGGGTTCAGGATGATATGGAGCAGTTAACTCCCAGGAAGAGTGAGATAACTAATTGTAATTTTTAAAATGTATAATGCTCTTGAAGCTGACAGATGGGTACTAGGAAAATGCAAGGTAGTAGTCTTGTTGCATTGGTTGTAAATATGTGCTCTGATCATTAAAAAGAAAGGGAAGAAATCAATTGCTGTTCTTCATCGCTCCTTATGGGTAATACCAGCACAGAGCTGTGAGAATTGAATTCATAGTCTTTGCATGAAAGCCCACATTTGACCTTTCACTGTTATGCGTAAGAGATTGCTTTAAGAATTCTAATATTCTCTAATTCGTTCTATTAGCCCCAAATGAAATCCTGCTTCAAAGAGAGTGAATTTCCCCTCCTCCAATCAAGTGGCTGCTGCTGAGTCAGAACTCTTTTGGCACCCATCATCTTCCTGCATCTCTATAACAGCTTGGATAACAGAAAACTTGCTTTAGAGGTTTCATTCACTTATTTATTCTATTTTTATAATAGGAAAAAAAACCTTA